GTCTTAAAGTTGTCCTGCCTTTCCAGACCAAAGCAGTGTACGCTTTACATGTACTGAGTGATGTGTGCCTGCAACTTCCATTCCCCTAAAAATGTATAAAATCAAGCTATAATTCAACCACCTTGGGCACATGTTTTCAGGACCTCTTGAGACTGTGCCTCAGGCCTTAGTCATTCATATTTGACTCGGAATAAATCTCTTAAAATATTTTACAGAGTCTGAGTCTTCTTTTTTAAATCAACAGTTCAAATAAATTTTTAAAACTTTTAATGTGCCCAAATTTATCTTTTAACATTACCAGTCTCAGTTTGTGAAAGTCTAGAGTTCTCCCTGTCCATGTCTGTAAATTCTTGAGGCTCATAGTCTCATTTATGGCTCCCCCCCCATTACCACTCAGACTCTTTATGTGCAAAGTCTATCCCCATTGCCACAAACTCTCATAAAAAATCATCCTTTCCTCCAATTTTCACAAAAGCACAACACATAAAAGATTCAGTATCCAATAATCTCTTTTTGCAAACTTTACTGAGGGTTTGGGTTACAAGGAGTGCTCACGTTGTTAACAGTCTTTGCAATCTTCTGCCTCCTCCCCTTCCCCTTTGCTCGACAAAGTGAGTTCCTCTCCTAGCTTCCTGTAAAGCTGTTCTGAGCCTTCCCTAGAGATCTCTCCTTCCACTCCAGCAGCATTTCAAAGCACTTACTCCAGAAAAAAACTATGTTTTTGCTAAATAAATCCTGGTGAATAGGATGCCCTCATATCACTACACAAGTAATTACCTGAATCAAAGTACCCTTTAAAGAAAGAAGGCAAATGTATATGGAGAAAAATTATGCTTCAGTGGAATATTATGTATTGTTTAGAGCACAACTTTTCAGGATATCTGATTCTGATTCACTGTCTTTGAGCTATTTTACAACTCTATAAATTGCAGATGAATGGTAACACCACACATAATTCTTACCTATACATGTGCAAATAAATTCTGTCAGGTAGAAGGGCAACCCTCCCTGATTCCCAAGGAAAGAGCCAGTTTTACAACCTTTGCAAATTTTTCTGTATTCCTGTTTTTTCACTTCTCTTTTGAACTGGCTATAATATCTTCACTGGTTCCCTCGTTTAATTAATGTATTAAATAAAATTTGACACATGTTCATTTTATAGCTGCGTGAGCATCATTATGTCACCTTTTTTGAAAACTATCTTTCCAGCATATCAAAAAGGGTTCTAGGGCAGGAAATGATAGCACACTCAAAAGGGAAATTCATTAATTAATGAAGGGACTATTTACAGGAGCGTGGGCAGAATTAAACCTCCAAGGCTGGTGAGCACCCAATCAGCAACAGAGAAAAATTAGTACTATATCTCTAGGGATAGGAAGCTGTGGCCACCCTTGAACACAAATTATAGCCTTGAAGAAAGGTGTTGGGGGGGAAATATGACTTCTTTTTCCTTTTGTCTTCTGAACCTCATGAAGCCAGAGGGTACTGGGGACAAGGTGACACAGTTTACTTGTTTTCTATTGCTTTTTCCATTCCTTTCAGTCACATCAGTCCAACATGGATCATAAATTCTCAGTGAATTTACAGGGGCTGGCCCATGTCTGCTACGAAAAAATTTTTCTATAGAAGCTTACAGTGTGATTCTACTTTATAGCTACATGTGTGCCTTAGTCTGTTAGTGGTGCTGTAACAAAATATTTCAGTCTCGGTAATTTTTAAGCAATAGAAATTAGTTTTCTTACAGTTCTAGAGGCTGGGAAGTTCAAGATCAAGGTGCCAGGATTCAATGTCTGGTAAGGGCTTTCTTGCTGTGTCCTCATGTAAACCACCCAATAGGTTTTTCTTGCCTGCTGCCCAGATAGAGCCAATTTATCAAGACAAAGAGTTTAATGCCTGTGGAGCTGGCTAAATGGAAGATGAGAGTTTTATTACTACTCAAATCAACCTCCCAGAAATTCAGAGGCTAGGGTTTTTTAAAGATAGTTTGGCAGACAGCAGGTTAGACAATGGGGAATGCTGATTGGTTGAGTCAGGAATAAAATTATAGGAAGTCGAAGCTGTCATCTTATGCTTAGTCAGTTTCTGGGTGGGGGCCACAAGACCAGATGAGCCATTTTACTTATCTGTGGTTCTACCTGGTCCATTGGAATTCAGGTTTTGAAAAATAACTCAAACACCAACGTTAGGTTTTATAATAGCAATGTTATCTATAGGTGCAATTGCGGAGGTCAGTGATCTTGTGGACTCTGACTGCATGACTCCTGAGTTATAATTTCTAATCTTGTAGCTAGTTTGTTAGTTTACTTATTTTTTGAGACAAGGTCTCACTCTGTCACACAGGCAGAAATGATGCAGCAGGATCTTGGCTCACTGCAAACTACACCTTCTGGGCTCAACTGATGCTCCCCACGAAGCACTACAGGCACGTGCCACCATGCCCAGCTAATTTTGTTCATTTTCTGTCGAGACAAGGTCTATGCTGCCCAGGCTGGTCTCGAACTCCTGGACTTACGCAATCCTCCCACTTTGGCCTCCCAAAGTGCTGGGATTACAGGCATGAGCCATTGTGCCCTGCCTAATTTGTTAGTTTAACAAAGGTGTTCCGGTCCCCAGGAAAGCTGGGGGTTTGTTTCATGGAAGAGCTGTTATCTTTGTTTCAAAGTTAATATATAAACTAAATTCCTCCCAAAGTTAGTTTGGCCTATGCTCATTAACAAATAAGGGCAGCTTGGAAGTGAGAAGCAAGATGGAGTTGGTTAGGTCAGATCTCTTTCACTGTCAGAATTTTCTCACTGTTATAATTTTTCAAAGGCAGTTTCATTCACATGGTAGAAGAGATGGTAGAAACAGACTCACCCTCTTAGGCCCTTTTATAAGGCTCTGCCCTCATGACTTAATTCCCTCCTAAAGGCCCCACCTCTTAATACTACCACGTGGATAATTAAGTTTCAACATAGGAATTTTAGGGGACACATTCAGACCATAACAGAAAATATAGCTCTTTACTAAAGTCCTCAAAAGTTCTCTCCAGTTTCTGGACCCAAAGTCTTTGACTAAGAAGCAAAAGTTGACACCACTTAATATGTGCTTTTATATGCACATTCTCCATATATTGGTTGAAGCATGGTGAATATACTTTGGAGAAAAGAAAAAGCACTTTATACAACAGTTGATTCCTTCCTGGGGGAAAAAATCTTGCTAAAATAGTCTCAAAGTTTCTGCTGGGCCTTTGTGCTTTCACATAAATTAATGTTCAGCCCAGCATCTTGACATGCTCAGGCAGAAAGCAGCAAAATTGCAAACAGGGATTGAGGAAGCTGAATAATGGTGTGCATGATAAAGTGACAAGACTTTGGAGCTCAGGGAATAATCTAGAAGGAAGGAGAAAAGAAAGGAGGAGGCAACCTGAGAAGCTGGAGTAGAGCTGTGGAAATGTTTGATGGATTGTTTTAAGGACGTGTAATATTCAACTTAAAATTGTTTTCTTCATTCCAACTTGGGCACTGCAGAAGAAGGGTGGGAAGCAGAAGGGGGCCATTCAGCCACCAATGAGGTGGTGACACCATCAACATTCCCAAGCACATCCCATTGAAATGGACTTCAAGAAGTGTGGCCCTCGGGCACTCAGCAGATATCTGGAAATTTGCCAAGAAAGAGATGGGAACTCCAGAGGTGCACACTGATACCAGGTTTGACAAAGCTGTCAGGGCCAAAAGAATAATGTCCCATACCGTATCCACGTGTGATTGTCCAGAAAAACATAAGGAGAATGAAGATTCACCGAAATGTGAAAGGAAAACAACATGGGCCCCAAAATCACTGAGCTAAAGGGAAAATTCAAGCTGGGAACTGCTTAGGGCAAACCTGCCTCCCATTCTATTCAAAGTCATCCCTCTGCTGAGATAGATGCATATTTGATTGCCTCTTTTGGAAAGGCTTATCAGAAACTCAAGACTACAACCATTTGTCTCTCACCTACCTATAACCTGGAAGCCTTCCTCCCTGCTTCAAGTTGTCTGCTTCTTACATATAGAGACGGACGTGTTCTCAACTTTGCCAAAATAAACTTTATACATTAATCGAGACTTGTCTCAAACTTTCGGGGTTCACAAAACTATGTATCCGTTACACTTTCTAAAACCTACAGTCAGTGTGGGAGAAGAACTGCTGATACTCGAATACGTCAAATAGTTATAAAACGGCCAAAAACTGTTGTTTTCTCTCAAACTTTTGGTAAAATGTGCTTCAGGGAAAACACAGGTAAGTGGTTCTGATAAAATCTTAATAAGGACATAATTTTAAAAAGCAATAATGGTAAAAATAAATCCCATTTATTATCTGGTATGTCCCCGGCATTTTGCTAACAGATAGCTCTACTACCCATGTCAGAGCAACTGAGCCAGATACTACGCTCCTTTTTCAGGTAAAGAGATGGAGGCTCAGAGAGGTTAAAGAGCTCACTCAAGGGCACACAGCCAGTACATGGCAGTACGTCTCTCCTTCTGGGGCCGCCGTCTCGGTGATACTATTTAGGGCCACACGTCCCACTGTTCAGCATTCGTATTTACGTACCACTGTTTGGCAAGCGGGGACTCCTGAAGCTCTCTGACCCTGAAAAATGTGTGGCTTGCGTCACAGAGAAGCGGTTTTAGAATGCGCTCGCAGCAGGACACCGCGGTGTGTGCAAGCGGAGGTCCGCCCTGTCCTTGAGCCTTTTGGCCGAGACTAGGAGGGCAGAGGAAGCAGGAAGGTGGGATTTGTTTCAAAAGGGCGCGGGAAGGGGATGCTCCACACCGCCTCGCCTCTTAGTGTACCCGGTCCCGTCACCCGAAATGTACGGGGACGACTGCCACGCGCACCCCACACCTAGCCGGCGGCGGCGGGATCTGGGCGCCGGCTGCGGCCTGGCGCGCGCTCCTCATCTACTTCCCCGCAGGGCTGGGCGGGACTCCGGCGAGGGGGCGGGCCCCGCGAGCGCCCGCCCCCTTTTCTCTCCCCGCCTCCTTCCCGCTCTGCATCCCGCCCAGCGGCGCAGGGGGCCGGGCTCCGGCGAGATGGGTGGGGGCCGCGCCGGTGACAGCCGCTCCCCTCCCCTGCTGCCCGCCACGTCCCTCACGTACCACTCGGCAGAGGCGCGGGGAAACGTGGCGCCCGGGCTCTGGCTTCTCTAGCGGGGCTCGGCATGAGGCTGGCGCGGCTGCTTCGCGGAGCTGCCTTGGCCGTCCCGGGCCCGGGGCTGCGTGCCGCCGGCCCCAGCCGCTCCTTCAGCTCGGACTCGGGCTCCGGCCCGGCGTCCGAGCGCGGCGTTCCGGGCCAGGTGGACTTCTACGCGCGCTTCTCACCGTCCCCGCTCTCCATGAAGCAGTTCCTGGACTTCGGTGAGTGCGGCCCGGACTTCGGGCCTTTGTGCGCGGTCCCAGGCGGGGAGCTGCGGCCCCTGCTCCAGGCCAGGTCGGTGCCGGCCAGCTCTCGCCTGAGGCGCAGCCCTCCTCCTCAGTGTTTCCGCCCCCAGCGCCTTAGGTGCTTCCTTCCTCCCTCCAAGTGCCGGCGCTGGCTGACGGCGTAAATAACGGTGGGCGTGTGGCTTTGATCGTATTGTTGAAAACAAACCAGCTGGGCCGCGCGGAATGACCTCCCGCCTTCCGGCGCACGTGTGCAGGTGCGCGCTCGGCCAGGCCCCTTCCGAGGAGGCGCGCCCGCGTGGGAGGCCGAGCGTGGACACCCCCGAGGATCGCTTTTGGATTCCGCGCAGTGATGATGAATGCCCAGTTTTGCATGTGATGATTGCATAGAAATGGCGTGATGATAGGCAAGGCAGGTTATAACTGGCCCAGAGTTTCTTAGAATGTTTTCCTTGCCAGTAGCATAAATTGTTTGCACCAACAGCACATTTCATCATCAGCAAGTAAGTCTTGAGCACGTGTTGAGTGCATGAGGACAGGATGCTGTGAAGTTTACCAGATTATCCTTGTTTTCTCGATAAGCTGTTAAACAGATTGCAGAAGGAATTGCATAGTTAGGCATTTTAACTTTTACTTCCCACTTACCTATGAAGGCAATGAGGGGAAAAGGGAAAACCTTAATGAATTCATAAAATTTGAGTACAAAGGTTATCTTCTGCATTGTGACTTCTGCATTGAATGATACCTGCATGGTTGACAACTTTGTCTTAAAACTGTGGTTTATAGTCGCATAATTTTTGGGTCAAAGCCTTAGGTTTTTGTTTTTACTTTAAAATGACCCTAGTTCGACGTAGGGGCGAATTTGGTGGTGGTCATAAGTATGCCATGAAACTTTCACAAGCTGTTTTCCTTTAATAACTTAATTTCTACTATTGACAGTCTAGTTTTTGCTAACGTTTTCTCTGCTAAAGCAGCAAGAATAGTAAGCTTAAAATGCATTACTGGAATAGCAAGACCTTTTAGTTTAATATTAAGTGGCGCTGTTTGCCAAAGGACATTATACAACTATTCTGCTTAGGAAGTGATATGGGATCGTGATATGGGAGTGGAGGGGTCAGGAGACTTTCCAGTAACCAGACAATTGAATAGGACCTACTTGAAGATGGTGCTAACAGGCGGTGGTGGTTTTTGCTTTCTGTTGCTTGAAAGCTTTCCTCTGCATTTACTCTTTTTTCCCGTGTGTGTGTGTGTGTGTGTGTGTATTTTTTAAAAATAGAAATGGGGTCTCGCTATGTTGTCCAGGCTGGTCTCAAACTCCTGGGCTCAAGCCATCCTCCCAACTTGGCCTCCCAAAGTGATTATAAGTGTGAGCCACCACACCTGGACTCCCCTTACTCTTTGCTTACTGTAATTAGCATTTGTGGTTCTATATGGAATCAGTGAATCTTCATATGCAAACATCAAAATTTTACTTTTTTCTTTTTGATTGAGACAGGGTTTTACTCTGTCACCCAGGCTGGAGTGCAGTGGTGCTATCATAGGTCACTATAACCTCACTTTTCTGCCTGAGCTTCCCAAGGCTAGAATTACAGGCAAGCACAACCACGCCCAGCTGTTTTTTATTTTTTATAAATACGAGGTCTCATTGTGTTACCCAGGCTGGTCTTGAACCCCTGCGCTCAAACAGTCCTCAAGCCTCGGCCTCGCAAAGTGCTGGGATTATAGGCATGAATCACTGTGCCTGGCCCCCTGTTTTTAATTTATTTTTTTAAGGCTAGTCAAGTGAAACAGTGGGAGTGGAGAAGGAACAAAGAAATCTGTAACTGGTTGTAATCAATTAGTCGTAAATACCACTGCATTCAGACCACCTTAAAGTTTCTGTTTCTTAGACATTAACTCTTTTTAAACCTAGAGTTAAAAAACAGATTTTCTAAATGATAACAGCAACACGGTGTACAGGCTAGACTTTTCCAGGTTCTGCTGTTAATTTTATAAAGCCTTGCTCAGTAATGCTCAGTTTACCTAACTTCTAAAATGGGTCTTCACTATAAGGATACAAGTTAGGGAGACAAGGTTATCGTAATTGCTGTACAGAGCCATTGGAATGTCAGTAATTGGAATGTCATAACTCTGGAGACTGGGTTATCTCATCCCTCACCTCCCACAGGCAGGGATACCTTTGCCTTCTATTCCTTGCCCCATCGTGGTGATTCTGCCCCTCTGGCCTTGCCAGGTAACTGCCTTTCATTTCTCCCTGCCTCTTGCCTTCGGTTTCCTTATGGCTTTTACTTACTGCTTTACCCATCATGTTTGGTTTCAGGATCAGTGAATGCTTGTGAAAAGACCTCATTTATGTTTCTTCGGCAAGAGTTGCCTGTCAGACTGGCAAATATAATGAAAGAAATAAGTCTCCTTCCAGATAATCTTCTCAGAACACCATCCGTTCAATTGGTACAAAGCTGGTAAGATTCTCATCTTGTGTTTGCAATTTGATGGAATTGTGGACTCTATTCAAGGTTACGGCAAATGCTTTTTTTACTCTTCAGTGGAATCTTTTTTTTTTTTTTTTTTTGAGAGGGAGTCCTGCTCTTAGGCCAGGCTGGAGTGCAGTGGCGCAATCTCAGCTCACTGCAAGCTCCAGCTCACTGGTTCAGGCAATTCTCCTGCCTCAGCCTCCCGAGTAACTGGGATTACAAGCATGTGCCACCATGCCCAGCTAATTTTTGTATTTTTAGTAGATACAGGGTTTCACCATGTTGGCCAGGATGATCTCGATCTCCTGACGTTGTGATCCGCCTGCCTTGGCCTCCCAAAGTATTGGGATTACAGGCATGAGCCACCGTGCCTGGCCAGAATCTTAAGGTAGTAGCAGTATTCTCCTTTTTTTGTCTGGGGGCAGGTGGGGCAATGTATCTGGGCTTGTGCCCTGAATCCTGGACTCCACAACTCCTTGATTTTGAGAAAACCAATTAGAACTGCACTGAAATACAGATGCTAAATTTAGGATTTATGTTAGTATATCTGCAAGGATATTATGAGAAAAATGTCTACAATTTGTTGATGACTAGGTATTTATGTATATTGCCTTTAATCCCTTTAACAACCTTGCACAGTAGGTATGAATCTCTCCATTTTATTCATTGTTGTTATTTTTATTTATTTATGTATTTATTTTTTTTAAATGGAGTCTTGCTCTGTCACCCAGGCTGGAGTGCATGATCTTGCCTCACTGCAACCTCTGCCTCCTGAGTTCAAGTAATTCTCTTGCCTCAGCCTCCAGAGTAGCTGGATACAGGCACCTGCCACCACACCCAGCTGATGTTTGTATTTTTAGTAGAGACAGAGGTTTCACCATGTTGTCCAGGCTAGTCTCAAACTCCTGACCTCAGGTGATCCTCCCACCTCGGCTTCCCAAAGTGCTGGGATTACAGGTGTGAGCCACCGCTCCTAGCCTGTTTACTTATTTTTTTTGAGACAGGTTCTTACTCTTACTCTGTCACCCAGGTTGGAGTGCAGTGGCGATCACAGCTCAGCTCACTGCAACCTCCACCTTCCTGGCTCAGGTGATCCTCCCACCTCAGCCTCCTGAGTAGCTGAAACCACAAGCGCGTGCCACGCCCAGCTAATTTTTGTATTTTTTAGCAGAGATGGGGTTTTTCCATGTTGCCTAGACTGGCCTCAAACTCCGGAGCTCAAGGGATTTGCCCACCTGGGCCTCTCAAAGTGCAGGGATTGTGGGCGTGAGCCATTGTGCCCAGCCTGTTTATTATTTTTAAAATGAATTTATTTTCTTTTTAGAGACAGGGTCTCCGTCACCCAGGCTAGAGTGCAGTAGTGTGATCATGGCTCATTGCAGTCTTGACCTCCTGGGCTCAAGAGATCCTACAGCCTTAGCCTCCCGAGCAGCTGGGACCACAGCCATGCGCCACCATACCTGACGAATTCTTTTATTTTTTGTAGAGATGGGGTCTCACTTTTTTGCCCAGGCAGGTTGTGAACAGGGCTGAAGCAGTCCTCTCACCTTGGCGTCCCAAAGTGTTGGGATTACAGACATGAGCCACTGCACCTGGCAGGTTAACTCTGTTTTACAGATGAGGATGCTGAGGCACATAAAGGTTAAATCTTTTGCATAAGGCAGTACCATTGATAGTGGAGTTGGGATTCAAACTCCCATTTGTCCATCTCTGCTATACCATTCTATAGTCAGAACAATGAAATATATGAAAGGGTATATGTATTTTTAATAAACTGTATTTACTGAAGGGTATCTTTTTATAAATTACAAAAGTTAAAACGTTTATTTTTCTGTTTTAAAACAATTAGAAGTTTTTGGAATTGTGTAGAAAAAGTGTGATCTATTCCCAAAGATGAGTAGAGATGTTAAGGGTATACACTCATGGAGCCACCTATATACAGCCTTTGTTAATGTTATTGCTTTAAAAGTGTTGTTCTTTTAAGCACTATACACTTCAAATAAATGAGCTGCCTAGAGTTAAGTCTTAAATGGAAGAAGTTTAGCTTCAGGGCATTTCCCAGTTATGATTCATGGAGATTCAAGTTTTCTTTTTGTAGTCATTATAGTGTATGGGAGAAGTTGATCTAATCTCGATTTAAAAAAGCAAAAGAAGTATGATTGCTATATATATGATAATCAGATGCTATCTAGTCCAAGTATGGAATAGTTATAAGTGTGGCTTAAATGGGAAGCATTTGTTTAGGAATTATGATGGGATATAAAGGAGAAAATATAATATTCCATGGAAGATATTTCCTGTTTTTAAAAAATTCTTCATTAGAAGTAGAATATGCTGCTTTTTGAAGCTTATCAGTCATGAAGTCTGATCGGTATCTGTTGTAGGTACTCAGCTATCTCTTGGATGGAGAGCGTAATTGTTCTTACCAATTAAGAGGAAATTAAGGGTTAAAGCAAAGCAGCAGCGGCTATCAGAATCCCTTAACTTTGGAATGCATTAAGACATACTGCTTGTCAGAAACAGCTTTCCAAACCAACAGATGGAATTACAGGTTTTTAAAGCACTTTCATTACTCCTAGATGCCTGTTAAGTTAGGGCAGTTGCAGATTAAGTGCTTATAGCTAAGTAATAGTTCCCTTACACTGTCAAAGAAAGTAATTCAGTGGTAGCAAGTTATTTTTAGCTCTGGCCCGGCAGTGCCATTGTACTTGCCTGCAAGACCATCAGAAAATCATTTGGCCTTCTTTATTTTGCTCATTTCTTAACAGATGCTTTGATACCTTGAATTATCAGATGAATTTAAAATCTACATTTTTATGACTTTTGTATTTTTTGTTCAGTTTAAAAGAACCATATAGTAGATTATAGGCTATTAATAAATACTTGTTAGTTGGACATAACCACGTAAAATTAAGGTTTTAGAGCATAGATATTTAAGATAGAGTCCCAGAGCAAGAGAGGCTGTCCTCCTTTTACCGATAATAAGACAAATTAAGTCATTTGCCCAAGATCACATAGTTATTGGTGACAGAGTCAGATCTCAGCATAATCAGTATGTATACTGTAATGTACAGTGGTAAATTTAAAAAGCCATTTTAGGATGTAGAACTTAGAATAGAAAATGTTAAAATTCTTAAACTTGACCTATGCTTTTAGGAGAAAATGTGTACCTTCTACTATTTGTTTCCAGCACTTTGCTCAAATGTGCATGGGTGTAAAAATTCTACTTCAACCATAATTTATAGCAGTACTATAAATTAAAAATTATAAAATGCTAAAAATAGCTTTTGAGCTAAGTTTCATGATAACTTTCAGAATATAAAAGAACGAACTTATTCTCTTGATCTGCATTTTAGGTATATCCAGAGTCTTCAGGAGCTTCTTGATTTTAAGGACAAAAGTGCTGAGGATGCTAAAGCTATTTATGAGTAAGTTCACTATTTTGACCCTATTCTTAAACCTATTATTAGGTCACTTAGGGGAAATTGATTAACTTTTAGGTTTCTGTTACTTTACAACATGTGATGTATGTGACTATAGCAGCCCATACAGGCAGGACAAATAACCTAATCATTAAATTTGACTAGGCATAAGAAATGCTTCGCATTCCTCTTTAACAAAAGACAAAGTTCAGGTGTGATGATCAATGGAAATGTAAGTGTGGCCTCAGTGGCAGTTGGACTGTTAACCTGGAGGGTGCATGCTCTTTCTGATGGACAACCACCTTCAGCCCCAGCTGATCTTTGCCATGTTAAAATACTGCCCATATCATCTGATTGTTTTCTGATTTTAAAGGAAAGCTACAAGTCTAGATTTGTAATGTAAAATCTCTTGCTTTTGAAAGTTTGGCAGCTAATTAAAACATTTTTTAAAACATAGAAGGCCTATAAAACATGGTTGCAGGTTTCTAGTTTATTCTCTATGGCCTGTAAGATGATGTCAGTAATATGACAAGTTTAATAACCCATATACCGGAATTGGTAGACCAAAGTATTTGCCGTATGCAGCTACCTGCTTATTGCAGTGAAGGGCACCGACAATGTAATGACCATTTCTTGTCCTCAGTTAGTTACACATGTTTTTTGGACTGTCTTTAAAGGGAACAGTAACACTTCATTTTTTTAAACATGATTTTAATCTGAAAATAACGTTCAGCAAGAGTTTACTCCTTGCTTAGGTATTGAGCAGACTTTACATGAATGATGTTTTTTAATCTTTAAAACAATTCATTGAAATAATGCTGTTTGTGCACAAAGAGGGCATGTAGCTTAAGGTTACATAGTTAGCACATGGTAGAATCCAAGCAGCCTTACTTTAGACGTAAACATGCTATACAGCCTTCTGAAAACAGTCGTTCAGAGCTGCGGAAAATAAGTAGTTAAGCAGAATAATACAGATTTGTGTTTCTTTTAAGGAAAAAAAATAAATAAAGGAATGACTAGAATGATGAGTTGTTTGTTGTTTTCGAAGAGCTTTGTTGTTTGTATTTTGGTTTAACAGTCTTGTTTTGAAGCTTGTTACTAACTAGGAATTCCAAAAATGTTTTAAGCAGTGGAAACATCATTGGAATAAGTTAATAGTACTCAAGATGATGACTTTGAATAGGAAAACACTCATTTGGAAGTGTAAATTCAGATGGGTTATGTTAGAAAATTGGTTTTGTTACTGCATAATTAAGACTTCTTGGGCTGGGCACAGTGGCTTATGCCGGTAATCCCAGCACTTTGGGAGGCCGAGGTGGGCAGATAGTCTGAGGTCGGGAGTTCGAGACCGGCCTGATCAACATGAAGGAACCCCCATCGCTACTGAAAATACAAAATTAGCCAAGCGTGGTGGTGCATACCTGTAATCCCAGCTACTGAGGAAGGCTGAGGCAGTAGAATCGCTTGAACTTGGGAGGTGGAGGTTACAGTGAGCCAAGATTGCGTGATTACGCTCCAGCCTGGGGAAAAAGAGCAAAACTCCATCTCAAAAAAAGAAAAAAAAGATTTCTTTTCTCTTTTGTCTTTTATTTAGTTCTTTAACCATGCAACGTCTTCTAAGTGACAGAAATGGGAAGGCTACTAGATGATTTGAAGATTTATCTTTTAATACAGTTGTTTACTTTTCCTCTCCCATTTTATAAACTCATAGGATAAATGAAATGATAATTCTTTTTTCGTTTTTCTGTCCTAAGTGTTTCCTTCTCTCTTTGAACCCTAGGGAATAGTTCTAAAACAGGCAGGCTTTATTGGCTCATTCATCTTGATTCCTTGCAGAGCAGAGCAGGTGTTCCCTAGAGGCAAGTGCTTTGTCTTCTCCTATGCAGAATATCTCTGGAATACCATCCTTTTAGCAAGTGCTCAGATAACCTTAGTTGATAGCAGTTAAAACCATTAACATTTTTAGGATTATGTTTTGTCACAGCCTTACTCTTAGGAAACCAAGAAAATAATTACATTTTGAAAGTTTTATTTTGGAGGTCGTTATACTTCCATAGATTTGGTATATTTTATGATTTGAAATACATTTAAATAAGTATAGGAAAACATGAACTGATTTTCCTTTTAGTAAATTAGGGATTTTTGTCTAGCATAGTTGGTTAAACTTATATTTTTGTATTAAGTTTACTTGTCAAAATATTTGGCTGTTTTGACAGATGGGTTTGTTTAGCTTTACAGATACTGTGATACGGATCAGAAACCGACACAATGATGTCATTCCCACAATGGCCCAGGGTGTGATTGAATACAAGGAGAGCTTTGGGGTGGATCCTGTCACCAGCCAGAATGTTCAGTACTTTTTGGATCGATTCTACATGAGTCGCATTTCAATTAGAATGTTACTCAATCAGCACTGTAAGTGTCCTGAGTCAAGAGAAGCAGCTAAATGAGATGTGTTGGCATATTTTAAATGTATTTAGGAAACTTCCATTTAGGTAGAAAATTTAGTTTTACCTTTTGGCTAATTAAGAGAAGTAAATAGACTGCCATCAAGAAAGGTATTTTTATTGAATGTAAAATACTGTGTTTATCCTAAAGGCAAATATTTGTTCTACTGTTTGGTATAATTTAAACACTATTCAGATTTGGAAAAGAGCATTAGGTAGTTTAGCTTATTTTGTTGGTTTTGTCTTTTTGGATAGCTTTATTGTTTGGGGGAAAAGGCAAAGGAAGTCCGTCTCATCGAAAACACATTGGAAGCATAAATCCAAACTGCAATGTAGTTGAAGTTATTAAAGGTAAATACTGACATTTCTCCTTACAAAAAGATACAAAAATCAAAGTTACTGTTATTTCTTACTATTAAACAACTATTTGTATCATGAGATAAAATGGTAGGCACAAATGCATGGGTTTGAAAATAACCTTATAGTATTATTTGCGCATTATGTATAGGATGACTATTTTATTGATAGAATTATAGATAGGCAAAGTTTGGTGATACTATAGAGGATATCTTTTTTGTTTTGTTTTGTTTGAGACAGAGTCTCATTCTGTTGCCCAGGCTGGAGTGCAGTGCTGCGATCTCAGCTCACTGTAGCCTCTGCCTCCTGAGTTCAAGCGATTGTCTTGCCTCAGCCTTCCCAGTAGCTGGAGTTACAGATGCTCAACACTACGCCTGGCTAATTTTTGTATCTTTAGTGCAGATAGGGTTTTACCATGTTGGCCAGGCTGGTCTGGAACTCCTGCCTGCCTCGGCCTCCTGAAGAGCTGGGATTACAGGCGTGAGCCACTGAGCCCAGCTGAGGGTATCTTTCACTTAAAAAAGATTTCAAGTCCCTGCTCCCCTGTTTCTAATTCCTTGCACTATGAGCAGTAATTCATAACAGGTTGGTTTGAATCCTTTCACGCTTTTTTCTATTTATACCACTTTCTATATATACACATACACAATTGATATTGGCCTTACATTGTTGTTTTTAGAAAATGGGGTGCTCTGTGATTTTTCTACAAGTTTGCAGACATCTTGCTGTTCAGTACATCTGGATATACCCCAAGATTTTGAATGGCTGTATGGAATGTATCAGTATGTATTAATTCATTCTCCTGTTGGCGTACATTTAGGTTGTTTTAATTTTTTTGTTACCACCAATACCAGCAGTTCTGCTGTGAACATCCTTAAATACATGCTTACTTTTGCTAGTATTTTAGAGGGTAAGATTCCTAGAATTAAAAACATTTAAATGCATATAAAATTTTGGTATCTCTAAAAAGATATCAAACAGTGGATAAGAGTATTTCCTAACCAACTCTTAAGTTTTGTTATATAGATAGGAAATATTTTCTTCAACCTGTTATTTTTCTTTTTTGCATTGTCGTTGGTGTCTTTTTAGCATATACACTTTTACATTTTTTTGTAGTTTTATTTGTCATTTATTGTTTATGGCTATTCAGCTTTGTCATGTCACACTTAGACTTTCCCTGGGCCAGGTGCAGTGGCTTATGCCTATAATCCCAGTACTTTGGGAGGCTGAGGCGGGTGGATCACCTGAGGTCAGGAGTTCGAGACCAGCCTGGCCAACATGGTGAAACCCCACCTGTACTGAAAATTCAAAAATTACCTGGGTGTGGTGACACATGCCTATGTAGTCCCAGCTACTTGGGAGGCTGAGGCAGGAGAATCACTTGAACCGGGGAGGTGGAGGCTGGAGTGAGCTGAGATAGCGCCACCACACTCCAGCCTGGTTGACCAAGACTCTGTCTAAAAAAAAAAAAAAAAAAGAGAAAGACTTTACCTGGTTGGGGGCCTTGAGCCCAGGAGCTGGAGACAAACCTCAGCAATATAGTGAGACCATGTCTCCACCAAAAAAAAAAAAAAAAAAAAAAAAAAAGCAGAGACTTTCCCTAAACTATCAAAGTGTATTTTCTTCTGTAGAGAGTTTAAGACTTTCATTTGTCAATACTATTGCCATCTTAATGCATGAAAGGGAAGTATGTTTATTAAATCCTTTTTTGTTTTGTTTTAATTCGCACTAGATGGCTATGAAAATGCTAGGCGTCTGTGTGATTTGTATTATATTAACTCTCCCGAACTAGAACTTGGAGAACTAAATGGTAAGCCTGATGTTGTCTTTTTCTCAGTGATTAGTGCATTGATTTCTTCATAAGGGATAAGAATTTAAATGTTTTAATGGAAGATGACTTTTTTCATTAAATTCATTGGATATGAAGGCTAAAGGATAGTAATCATGTAAAAAGTGTATCTATAAATATATATGTAATTTAGTCAGATTCTTTATGAAAAAATTTGGCTTTTTGTGCCTCATTTTCTTTATTTTTAATTGATAACTTTGATTCTTTGCTTATTTTTAATTTTCTGTTTAGTCATAGAAAAAAATGATGCCAAGAAAGTTACATTTGACTTTTACATGCACTTCAATAATGTAAGACTTACCCTTTTTCTACTTCCTGAGTTATAAATAATTTTCTGCAGTTGAGGACATAGAAAGACTGGGTTTGTAAAAGAGGAAAGAAAGATGCTCATCTATATGAGAATGTGTTTGTCTCTGATGGTTTTCTTTTTACCCTGATGAGTGCCTTTTGGATAAAAAGGGTTTAGATGCCTTGAAGGGGGATTGATGAGTCTCTTTCCTGAAGGCATGGTAGTTTGACAGAGAAAAACATTTCCTAGGATGACACTTTAAGAAGGTGTGGTGGAAAGAATAAAATAAGATAGGCTTTTACTGAGCTGTATTCTGGACCTTAGAGTGAGAGAGCAGTGAAGTTACGCAATTGAAAATAGCATTGCCTGGTGGTTTTCTAAAGCCATATTAACTCTTTTGAGCCATGATGGTAGCATAGCATTTGGTAAATAACAATCACAATGTACAAGTGATAGTTTGCAAACCTGAACTGCTGTGAGCAATTTCCAGATATCCCATTCTTGTTCCCAAGGGGGAGTTTATTCAGAGGAAGGTCTGATTTATTGGTTGAATTAGAATTCTAAGATATCATGAGTCTTAATCATTTGTTCTACTAAATGTCTGTTTTATACATACCCCTATCACCACCCCCAGTGGGGCTCCTGTTAAGTGTTTAAATGTAGAATTAATTACTGTCTCGAGAAATTGATGCTAGCTCATATTTTTTTATTCAGCTTTATATCCATCGAAATGCCTGAAATAAACAATAGTCCGTCCAGGTGAAACATTTTGAAAATGGCTGAAAGAATGTATGGGCTGGGCGCGGTGGCTCACGTCTGTAATCCCAGCACTTTGGGAAGCCGAGGCGGGTGGCTCACAAGGTCAGGAATTTGAGACAAGCCTGGGCCAATATGGTGAAACCCCATCTCTACTAAAAATAGAAAAATCAGCCAGGCGTGGTGGTGGGTGCCTGTAATCCCAGCTATTCGGGAGGCTGAGGTAGGAGAATTACTTGAACCCGGGAGGCAGAGGTTGCAGTGAGCTGAGATTGCGCCACTGCACTCCAGCCTGGGCGACAGAGCAAGACTCCGTCTAAAAAAAAAAAAAAAAAAAAAGAAGAATGTATTCATGTGAATTGGACTGTGGAATTTATGGACTTTTAACACTTCTCTATTTGGAAAGTAAAATTCCTACCCAACAGTTGAGCGATCTTTAAAAAGACTTTACCATCCTAGAGAAAAATGGTTGCATGGGTTGGTTCGATTGTTACACGAGATTGTGAGAAATGACCACAGGACTCTTGTCATCGTCAGTTGTAAATACTTGTGGGTATGGGTTCAAACACTAATACATTGAAGAAATGGTGTAGCAGTTCTCCCCCAGATTATACTGTCCTCCGTAGTTAATGTTTTCTTTTCATCACTACACAGTTTTTTCTTAAAAATGCTTTAAAGCACATCTCTCTGTACTTTCATATTTTTCTCTTCTGCTCTGTAGCAAAATCACCAGGACAGCCAATACAAGTGGTTTATGTACCATCCCATCTCTATCACATGGTGTTTGAACTTTTCAAGGTTTGTAAAATAGTATTACATAACCTTTACCAGTACTTTCCTGAGGTTAGGAATCTGCTCTGAAAGCCAAATATTCCACTAGGTTCTCCTATTAAGAAGTGCCATTTCATGTCAGTATCGTATCACATTGCTGGAGATCAGCCTTTTATCAACACAGGGAGACAGCTCCATGTAGTAGTGAGCTCAGACTATGGAGTCAGAAAGACCTGGGTTTGAATCCGAATTATGGCACTTAATTTGTGTGTGACCTTGGGCAAGTCACTCAACCTCTCTGAGCCTCAGTTTCCTTTTCTGTAAAACAAGAATACTGTCCAGGATTGTTTATGACGATTGGGAATAACATACTAAGTGTCCAGTACAGTGGCAACATATTACATATAGATGCTTAATAAAGTTATCTTTACATTTTAAAACAATATTTAGACGAGTGATTCTCAACTTGCTACCCTCAAAGGACTAGAATTCTTTTTTTGGTCTGGCTTTTCTTGGGAGGGGGAGGTCATTTATATTGACTTACAGGGTTTTTGTTGTTATCTTTGCTCTTTACAACAAATTTTGAAAACAAATTATGCTAGTAATATTGAGAGTGTCTTTTTTCCCCGCCCATGATACTTGCTGGTTGACAGGAAAATGGGTGAGGAGTGAGGGGCACAGGTCCTGGTGAGTGAAAACGACTGCCCTCCATCAGAAGCTTGTAGTCTCTCTTTAGTTATGTTTCATCAGCCAGCAGCAAACTAGAAGAGAGAGGGGGTGGCTTTCAATCTGATAATGTAAAGGAAGAGTGCACTGAAACACAGAAAAACTGACCAAATATCTTAGAACACCACCAAAGTGTTCTTTCTTCTAAGACAGCAAAAATGTATTTAATACCTTACAAAATCTTTTCAAAAATATTTATTTTATTTTTTGTAGCATTGAGGTCTCACTCTGTTACCCAGGCTGCCCTTGAAGTCCTGGCCTCAAGCAGTCCTGCCTTGGATTCCCAGTGTTGAGATTACAGGCATAAACCACTGCACCTAGCCCCAAAATCTTTTTATCCAAGTTGTTAAACAAGTAGTGATGGGCACTTAAAGCATTAACACGAATTTTTTCCTTGAAATTCCAGTGGCATAAAGATCTTGTGCCCTATGATTGAGGCATTCCATATTATATTACGTATTGTTCATAATGTCAGTAATAATGGCTTTCACCTGGAACCTAATCTTAAACTGCCTGTGATGGAAATGATGGAATCTCCTCCATAAGGGGACTCAATCGCAATTGCTGTGCCAGGGCCACACACACTTACTGCCAAATTCAGATGCCTTTTTAGTTACATCTAGTTTGTATCATTTTCTGCTGCAATGCTGAATGTCATGATATTGTTCAAGGCTTCTGATATGTTGGCACTGTGTACCCTATTTCCTTTAGAAAGTAGTCAAAGCAGCTTTACAGTGTCAGTACCCTTAATTTCAAGCTAGAGATAAAGGGATTCATTGCTCCATCAAATACGACCATCGCTGTTACTACTATATGAAAAAATTACTTTTCTTTAAAGAAATGTATGACAGTTTTTTAAATAGTTCTGAAAATAGAGCTGAAACTACATTTTCAAAAATGTTTTGCCCATCACTTACTAAAATTATAAAAGTGTTTGAACAGAGTTTTCTGCTTTAATGTAACTAGTTTAAAGTGTTTTGAAGTCTGACTTTGGAAAATATGCAGAATTTAGTTGGAATCTTTAGGTCAGAATATCCTTTAGATCCCCCCCAAATTGACTCCATTAAAAAAAAAAAACTTTAAATGTGGTTGTAAGAATTGTGATTCTTTGGCATATTTTCATCAAATTTAAAAACTTCAAATAGTGCATATGTACTTGAAAATTATACTTTGTCCTTTCTAAAAAGCTGTATTTTTAATACAACCCTAATGTGTTTCAGAATGCAATGAGAGCCACTATGGAACACCATGCCAGCAGAGGTGTTTACCCTCCTATTCAAGTTCATGTCACGTTGGGTAATGAGGATTTGACTGTAAAGGTAAATGTGTTTGGTTTTTGTTTTTTTTTTTTGTAATTGATGTACAGACATGCAAAGGTAACCATACGCATAATTTTTAAAAGACATAATCTCTCAGGGGAAAAGAATCTTGTCTGTAATAGATAATAAGCACATTGCTTCATTGAGCTGGTGGATTATAGTTACTCCTTGAATCTTTTCTAGTCTGGTTCCCTGTCCAGGTGATTCAAGTTAAAATAAATCTTGGAGACAGACAATTTATCATGAATATCTCTTTGATAAGATCTAAAATATTTGGATAGTTGCAGTATTATGGAGATAGTATTTAATATATAATTAAAAAATTTTAAAACAATGCTTTTTAATCTAGTTTGTTTCATTTGATTCTCATAATGCAGGTAATTTTATCCTCACTTTTACAGGTGAGGAGACTAAGACATGGTGATTAGCTCAGGATCACACAGGGCATAAATACCATGGGACATGATATCCAGTCTTCTGTCCCCAGGACTAGACCTTTTCTATTACGTTGTTCAGGTGGCTCAGTTTCTTCTTTTAAATTTTATTAAAAATTGTTTTCTGTCACCCAGGCTGGAGTGCAGTGGTATGATCATTGCTCACTGTGACCTCGAACTCCTGGGCTCAAGCGATCCTCCTCCCATAGCTTCCAGAGTAACTGGGACTGCAGGCTGCAGGCATGCAAGCCTGGCTAATTAAAATAATTTTAGGGGGTAGAGACTAGGTCTTACTGTTGCCCAGGCTGATCTCAAAACCCCTGGTCTCAAGTGATCCTCCCACCTTGGCCTCCAAAAGCACTAGTATTACAGGTGTGAGCCACTGTGCCTGGCCCTAGTTTCTTAAGAGTATGATAGTGTTTTTCTCTTTTAATAATCACTAAAAATTTATATTAAAGTAATAAATGCAGACACTATAAAAAATCAAATGTGTCAGTTCCTGGCCCTTTGTGGGCCTCATTACTCCGAGTTACTCAGAGATTCCTAGTCTTTCTTTTTTCGAGATGGAGTCTCACTCTGTCACCCAGGGTGGAATGCAGTAGTGTGATCTTGGCCCACTGCAACCTCTGCCTCCTGGGTTCAAGCAATTCTCCTGCCTCAGCCTCCCAAGTAGCTGGGACAACAGGCACCCGCCACCACACCTAGCTAATTTTTTGTATTTTAGTAGAGACGGGGTTTCACCATATTGGCCGGGCTGGTCTCGAACTCCTGACCTTGAGTTGTCCACCTGCCTCACCCTCCCAAAGTGCTGGGATTACAGGCATGAGCTACTGCGCCTGGCCTAATGTTTACATTTTAAACAGTAAATATTACCTTTCTGTTATAGTAGTTGAGGGGTTAGCTCTCTTTAATAGAGCACCTGCTCCCCTCCCTTAGCCCAAGGGCCACTTTCCCTATACTATCATCCTAATATTTAAGTTTGTATATGAAATTCAAAGTTGAGAATAATCATCTTGCAAAAGTTTGAAGGCATCCGTTGTTCCTTTTTTTAAAAGGTACAATTCAGTGAAATTCATAAGGTTATTCAAGTATTGCCGCTGTCTCATTCTAGAACATTTTCATCAGTCCTAAGAAAAAACCCAGTACTCCGTCAGGCACAGCGGCTCATGCCTGTAATCCTGGCACTTTGGGAGGCCAAGGCGGGCAGATTGCCTGAGGTCAGGCGTTTAAGAGCAGCCTGGCCAACATGGTGAAACCCCGTCTCTACAAAAAAATACAAAATTAGCTGGGCGTGGTGGCAGGCGCCTGTAATCCCAGCTATTCAGGAGGCTGAGACATGAGAATCACTTGAACCCAGGAGGCAGAGGTTGCAGTGAGCCGAGATCGCACCACTGCACTCCAGCCTGGGCGACAGAGCAAGACTCCATCTCAAAAAAAGGAAAATACCAGTACCCATGAAGTCACTTACCATTTTTCTCTCTTCTAGCCCTTAGCAACCACTAATCTATTTTCTGTTTGTGTATTTCTCTTTCTGAGCGTTTTATATAAACTTAATCATGCAGTATGTGATCTTTTGTTACTGACTTCTTTCACTTACTATAATGTTATAGTATGCATTTGTACTTCGTTCCTTTTTATGACTGAATGATATTCTGTTATATGGATATAACGCCTTTGGGTTATGCATTCATCAGTTGATAGACATTTGGTTCCTTTTTATTTTTTGGTTATTATAAATAATACAGCTATGAACATCTGTGTACAAATTATTGTGTGAACATGTGTTTCAGTTATCTTATGTATATACCTAGGGATTGAATTGCTGAATTATAGGAAACTCTGTTTAACTTTGAGAAACTGCCAAACTGTTTTCCAAAGGACCTGCACCATTGTGCATTCTCATCAACAATATGTAAAAGTTCCTGTTTTTCCTTGTCCTTGTCAACAATTGTAGTCTGTCTTTTTTTATTATAGACATTATTGTGAGTGTGAAGTGGTAGCTCATTGTGGTTTTTATTTGCATTTGTCTAATGACTGATGTTGAGCATCTTTTCATTTGCTGATTGGCCTTTTGTGTATCTTTGAAGAAATGCAGATTAAGATCCTTTTTTCAGTTTTAAAATTGGCTGTCTTTTATTGTTGAGTTGTAAGGGTTCTCTCTCTTATGTATATGTATATATATAAGGATTCTCTGTGTGTGTGTGTGTGTGTGTGTGTGTGTGTGTGTGTGTATGTATAGGGGTTACTAGTCCCTGATGAGATGTATGATTTGCAAGCATATTCTCCCATTCTGTGTGTTCTTTTCACTTTCTTGATAGTGTCCTTTGAAGTACAAAGTTGTGTTGTTTTGTTTTTTGCTTTTTAAAACAGAAATGGAGTCTTGCTATGTTGCGCAGGCTGGTCTCGAACTCCTGAGTTTAAGCAGTCCTCCCACCTTGGCCTCCCAAAGTGCTGGGATTACAGGTTTGAGGCACCACACCCAGCCAAAGTTTTTAGTTTTGAAATTTTTCAATTTTTTTTTCACGTTACATGTGATTTCAGCCTTATGTCTAAGAAGCCATTGCCTACTCCAAAGTCTTGAAAATTTATGCCTATGTTTCTGAGAGTTTTATAGTTTTAGCTTTTACATTTAAGGTCTTTGATCCATTTTGAGTTAATTTTTGTACATGGTTTGAGGTAAAGGTTCATCTTCATTCTTTTGCATGTAGATATCCAGTTGTCCCAGTACCATTTGTGAAAAACCTATTCTTTCCGCATTCAGTTGCCCTGTCACCCTTGCCAAAAATCAATTGCTCGTGAATGTATGGGGTTTATTTCTGGATTCTCAGTTCTATTCCATTGATGTATATATCTCTCATTATGCAAGTACTTAACGCGTGTCTCAATTATTGTAGCTTTAAGTTTTGAAATTTGCAAGTGTGAGTCCTACAACTTCTTTTTCAGGATTATTTTGGCTATTATGGGTTCTCGCATTTCCATGGGTTTTAGGATCAGCTTGTCAATTTCTGCAAAAAACAATGCCAACTAGAATTTTGATGGGCATCATTTGGGAAGTGTTGCCATCTTAGAGTTAACAATATTAACTCTTCTAATTCATGAACACAAGACATCTTTACACTTATGACACAGGGCATCTTTATAGGTCTTCTTTGCTTTCTTTCAATAGTGTTTTGTGGTTTTTAGTGTACAAGTCTTGGACTTTTAAATTTATTCCTAAGTATTTTATTATTTTTAATGCTATTATAATGGAATTGTTCTCTTAATTCCATTTTTTGGAGTGCTTTTTGCTAGTGGATAGGAATATAACTGATTTTTTTTTGTACTGATCTTGTATCCTGCATCCTTGCTAAATGTCTTCATTAGCATGAATAAATTTTTGTGGATTACTTAGAATTTTCTATATAAATGATCATGTCTCTGCAAAAAGATGTAAGTGTGGCTAGTGCAGTGTTGAATAGAAGTGCTGAGAGGAAACATCCTTGTCTTTTTTCTGATCCTAAGGGGGATAACTTCTTGTCTTTCACCATTAAGTATGATGTTAGCTCTGATTTTTTTCATAGATACCCTTTATCAGATTGAGAAAGTTTGCCTCTATTCTTAGTTTGAGTGTTTTTATCATGAAAGGATATTCAATTTTGTCAAGTGCTTTTTCTGTGGAGATTGAAATGATTGTGTGGTTTGTTCTTTGTTCTATTAAGTAGTGTATTACATTGCTTTTTCTACATCAAACCAACCTTGCATTCTTGGGATAAGTCTCAATTTTTTTATGGTTTATGTTGTTTTGTTGAGAATTTTTACATTGATGTTCATAAGGTATGTTTATTGGTCTGTAGTTTCTTGAGATGTTTTAGTTTTAGTATCGGGATGACACTGGCCTTATAGAATGAGTAGGGAATTTCCCTCTTTTTCTGTATTTTGGAAGAGTTTTTGAAGGATTGGTATTCTGTCAGTGTTTGGTAGAACACAACAGTGAAGACTTCCGGGCCTGAGCTTGTCTTTGTGGGAAGATTTTTGATTACTAGTTAAATCTCTATTTGTTATTTATTCAGATTTATGGATAGATATTTATAAACATAAATAATAGGCCAGGCACAGTGGCTTATGCTTGTAATCCTAGCACTTTGGGAAGCCAAGGCAGGTGGATCACCTGAGCTCAGGAGTTTGAGACTAGAGTGGCCAACATGGCAAAACTCCATCTCTACTAAAAATACAAAAATCAGCCAGGCACAGTGGTGTGTGCCTGTAATCCCAGCTACTTGGGAGGCTGAGGCAGGAGAATCACTTGAACCTGGGAGGCAGAGGTTGTGGTGAGCTGAGATTGTGCCATTGCACTCTAGCCTGGACGACAGGTCAAGACTCTGTGTCAAATAATAATAATAAAATAAATAAATATAAATAATATATTTGCTATCTATTCAAATTGTCCATTTCTTCCTGAGCTGTGTCAATAGTTTGTATTTTTATTGTAATTTGTCCGTTTCATTTAGGTTATCTAATTATTACACACAATTGTTCATAGTATTCCCTAATAATCCTTTTTATTTTTGTAAGATTGATAGTGATGTC